TTTTTTTTATTTTCATACATTTTATATGTCATATTATTTAACAATTTTTCTTTATTTTTCATTTGTATAAAAACATGTACTAAAAAAAAAAAAAAACCGCTTTTAAAATTATACCAAATATGACATTTTTATGGCTTTTTTTTTTTTGAAGAGAAAAAAATATTTTGAAGAATTGGAAAAAAAAAAGGGAAAGGAAAATTTCTTTTCATTTTCTTTGAATGATTCGTTTTATCAAAATTGAATTGTCGTAAAATTTGAATTACCTTTTAAAATAAATTTACAGTATCAAAAATCCTTCTTTAACATTTCTATTCATTATTTTTTAAGCTAAAATTGTCACTGTAAATGTTTTATGGTTAATTAGTTGATTAATTATCTAATTGCTACAATTTTCTTATTTCTTTTAATTGTCATTAATTAAGATAGAGCAAAAAATGCTAAATTATGTTTATTTCACTGTCTATTTGTCAGTTTATGTCATTGTCTATTTTGTTTTTTTTTTGAATAATTCATTAAAAATTTTCTTCGTACTTTTAATTTAATGTAAAAATTAAATTATAAGTTTGAAGTAGAGTTTGGAAGTAAGTGGTTTTTTTTTCCCCTCACTTTGATTTTTTTATCAGTCAATGTTTATGTCACTATCTATTTGTCAGTTTTAATTAATGAATTAATTAATTATTTGCTAAAAAGCATATCATCATTCTAATAATTTCCGTTATTTTCATTTCTTATCATGATTGTCGTACATTATTAAAAATGAAATGATAAAATGATGCTATCTGATGTTTATCTTAATAATTATTTAACTGTTTTAAACAAATCCAGTTTTATCATCGCAATTATAATTGTTCCAATTAATCCGGTTAACAAATGTCAACGATAGGAAATATACTTAAATTAAAATCACAATTCTTTCAATCTTCAATTATCTTCTTCTATTAGCAATCATATCTATATCCCAAGTTGACATCTTTTCACATCATATACCTGTAATGAACATTTCATCATCCTTATAACCCGCATCATTCCATATTATCGATTTCAATCGATAAATCTCGGTGGAAATATCATATGATTATTGATATAAAACATATATACATTGAGAGATATGTTTGAGAATAAGTCTTAAGCAATTTGATAAGTTTGATTTTTTTTTTAAACATAACAATATTTCTCTTTTCTTTCTTTCTTTTCTCTCCCTTTTTTTTTTTGTTTTCAGAAAATTTTTCAATGATTTCGTTAAAATATCAATAGCATTATTTGGTATTTTTGTGTTATATTGTTGAAACAAACAACTATATGAATCTTTCTTTCTTTTCTCCTTTTTCCGCCTCTTTAAGCACTTTTCATTCATTTTACTATTTCCAATTTAATTATATATATATATTCAATGAATGATATTCTTATCATAATACTACGATATATATCATCACACTACACCACACCACACCACACTATACCACACTGCACTACACCACACCACACCACACTACACTACACCACAATACACCACCACCACACCACACCACACTACACCACACCACACCACACACTACACCACATCATATTACACTGCATTACATTGCACCACACACCATGCTACTTTTCCACACTACACTACACTACATAACGGTATACCAAATACTACATCTTACAAATACCGCGTCACATCATACCATATGCTTCACCACACTACACCACACCACACAACACTGCACCATGCCACACTGCACGACACATCACACTACACCACACCACTACAACACACCACACTACACCACGCTACACTATTCTACACTATTCTGTGGATAGATGCTAAACATATGTCCCAAAAGCACAAAGGAATACCGCACGATTTGTGTATGTGTCTGTGGGATGTGTGTGTGGGTGTGAATATGTGGTATATGTATGCGTGAACATGTGTCTGTGAGTGCATTTGTGTGGGTGTGTATGTGAATGTAGGTGAGTATACGTATGTGGGTGTATGTCTGTGTGTGTATGTGTGTGTGTGTGTGTGTGTGTGTATGGTGTGCTTGGTGAAATTACTTTACAGCAATTGTGAAAATTGTTGAAGCTGATGAATGGCATCATTCATTGGGGCACGAAAGAGTCTATCATTAACCTAAGGCATCATTATCATTACCATTATCAATACCTATTATTATTATTATCATTATCATTATCAGCATCGCTATCATTACACTTATTATAGTCAAATATTAAAGGGGGAAAAAAGCTAAATTGTTTGAATCATTAAAAATATGTAAAAAAATTTTAATTTCAAAAGAAATTTGAACACTTTTTTTTACCTGAAGCATGAACACACCTGAAAAGGTAGCACAATTTCACCTGAATACACCTGAAAAGGTAGCACAATTTCACTCGAAGACACCTGAAAAGGTAGCATAATTTCACCTGAACACACCTG